ACTCAGGGCGGCTTACAGGTAAATAAAAACAGTACAATACAATAAATATCTAAAAACCAAATTAAAATATATATTAAATGACCTGTATTAGATTTAAAATTATAAAATCCCTTTAAAATCCCTATAAAATCCCCCCCTAGGCCAATCCCGCTTGATGGAAAAGCCATGTCTTGAGGGCACGGCGGAAGGAGGGGAGATCTGGAATAATCCGGATCTCTGGGGGGAGTTATTATTGTAATTATTACAAAAATGTTATCTCAAATTAAAATTATTTTGAAACTTTATTCTATCCAACTTCCAAACAATCCCCATTCTGATACATATAAGACATTAATAGATAATTATAAAATGCCTGTGTGTTAGAAACAGAAATAGAAAAAATGTTTTTAAACTGTTTATATGAGTGATGCCTTGAGATGCATATTACCTAAAATTAGGTCTGCTCTAAGGAAGAGATTCAGTAGGAAACTATATTTATTTTTGGAATTTTGAAAAGAATTCAAATAGTAGTTCTTTTTAGATTCCTAGATCTCTTTTTACAGTTCATTCAATGTTTGTATCAGTGTTTTTGGAAAAATTGAATATAACCATATAAAATTAAGACAGACATCTTAAAGAACACACTTAATTTGGGGGAAAAGTTTTACAAGTATTGGGCGATCGTGCCTGAAATGGACCATTTGAAGATAACCAAATCTTAAAGGAACAAAAATTAAGATTTATTTTCATATTTCTAGGAAAGCAAAATATACTCACTTGAAAAGGCTTGGCAGCACCTTTTTCATCCTTACTTGAAATTATTTTGGCATTTTTTCGTGTCTCTCTTAAACGCTCAATTGATGGAGGTTTTATAAATATCACAAATGGTTTGAATTCCAAAGTCCTTAGATGCTTCACTGTCTGGAAAGTTGAAAATATTAAGAAGAACATGTTTATTTTAAAAATTATTTACTCTGAAACAATACAAGTCATCTCTAGTTTTTATGTGGCATTCCTCCCTAATAACAGATACTGTTATTAGATATAATTTATATAGCATTTTAATTGTTTAGCATAACATACACTGTTTCATTCAAACGATTCTTTGCAGAATTTGCTGAAATGCCAGTCATTTTTGGTTGTAGTATCTTTAACATGATATAATTTAACATGATATAATTCTGAACAAGATTTTAGGCTAAAAAGGCTAACAATTCTAGTACAATTGCTAGGATGTTACTAATTCTCTTTCACTAGTAATTTCTCCCTGGAATTGTTAATAGAGAGTGAAAGACATATTATCTTAATGGTAGGAAAATTAAATACTTTATTGCTTACTTACATGAGGCTGTACATCTAACAAACAAACTTTATTTTTTGCCAGAACAGCTCTAACTGAGTCAATGCTGGTACCATAGTAATTATTTTTATATTCCCCATATTCAATAAACCTGAAATAAAAAATAATATTTTATATTTCTTTTACAAATCTTATTTCCATATATCTTTTTTGTTTTTTAAAAAAGCAACCTGATATCCTTACTGTATCTATTGACAAAGACAACCTTGCAAATCAAGTGCCAAATAACATTTTTTAAAGAAATTCAGATATTTAAAAATTGAATGAATATCATAATTATTACAAAATATCATTTCAAATTCAAATTATTTCAAAACTTTATTTGTTTAGCTTTCAAACCTTGAACAATTAGTGTAAATCTTCACAGTATATATACTGGACACAAAACAAATATGATTAATTCTTTTCTATTTTCAAAATATCCTTTAAATACAGAGACTGAAACCTCTGATAGATTCATCTTGGGTTTGTCTTTAGACAAAACTTAATTTCAAATGATGGCATGGTAATGTGTATTTCCATCAGTGTTCAAGCTGCCCACTGAAGTGCAATACATATGGTTTATGCTAGAAACTGAAATTAAACTATGCTTTTGTCATCCAAGAATTCTCATTCAAGTTAGCTCTGGCATTTGGCAGAGCACTCAGATGCAGAAACATTCTCACATTAGCAATGCAAAATGGCACACACACACACAAAGACATGAATTTCGTGCTTCCCACATACTTGTTATTCTGTATATCTGTCTCGAACAAGTGCTTGGAAATAAAAGTGTATTCAACACCATCACTTTCTTGGCTTCTTCGAGGTCTTGTTGTGTCTGGTTTTATTGAAAGAGCATTAAAAACCACTTTGAGAGTAAATGAAAATGAACAGTTCTATTCTACTGGTTTTAATTACCAACAAACTGTTGAAATTCAAGCAGATGGAATTCAACTCTCAGAAATTCGTATGAAAATTTAAGAAATCTATCCTCTCTTCTCAAATATTAATATGGAACTGGTTTTGGTTGGTACATATCCTCTCCTTGCTGTCTTGCACCGTCTACATCAAAGAGTAATAATCCCATTATATGTGACTGCTCAGTCTACTGTAACTGTGATGTCAAATTCCCTTTCTAGTGATTTTCATGGTTGTAGAAGGCTGGCAAAACAAGAATACAAGGACCATGTTTGTTTCCTCAGCATAAAAAAGCCCTTTGTCTGCTTGTTTCCACCATGCAATAATGGAGAACTAGAGCCATTTACGTTCCTCATGAAGTGGAAGACGCTTTAAAAACTTAATTCAGATAATCCTTATCAGATTATATTTATGCTAATTAAAAGGAAGCTGAATCATACATTAGGAATTTATAGAGCAGACTTTTTCACTTACGTGGAACTGTTACACCATAATAGTGAGTGTCACTGATTAACAATTTCCGTTTTAGTTCATTCAGTCCTACACCAACAGGACCTGAAAGTTTAAATGTGTTCCAGTTAATTGTTCTGATTATTAATATTATAACATAATACAGTAGCTCTGTTTAAAAATCCAAAATGTTACTCAAAAGTGTTTTATTGGAACAACTCCAGTGTCTTCAGTATTCACTAGGCGGATAGGATTTCCAAAGCCTATGTATGGGTTTCCCAAACTTTGGCTTTTTACTATCTCTGAAATCAATAGCCTGTCATTTATTCTGCCAAAGATACACAACCTTGAATGGTCAATTGGCTAATGTTAAAAAAGAATGTTGATGGAATATAAAGATTAAGCTGGTACTAATCTCAAAATTCATGATGTTATATCCTTCCTTTTTTTCTCAGTATATTTAATATGTACCATACTTTGACTTAAAATAGCAATGTGAGATTACATCTTCTTACGGAGGAAAAAACAAGCTGTTTCAGAAATCTTTGGTTTACCTCAATAAAAGTTGTGTGCTATTCAGGAATGCATTTAGTTCATCTACTTGTTGGGTTTAGATGAAAATACTCAGAAAGAGACTAAATATATAATTTCAAACAAAATTCCAAATTATACAAGAGTTACTTATAATTTAGGCAAGATTAACACAGGAAACACATTACTGAGGAATACTAACAAGTTTAAATGTATTATAAAAGTCTAAAGATGATACATTTCAACTACTGCTAGCTGTAGAACCCTTGGATTCCAATAAGATATTCACAGTGCCCTCAAGCACAGTGACATATAAAATAGGATTAGTATTTCATGGTTTTCTTCTCTCCAACTTTGTTTTAGTTCCTGCTATGATATTTTTCTCATCTTTATTTGGAACAACATTCCAATGTATAAAGCAGTTTTTCTCAACCTTGGCAAGTTGAAGATGGGTGGACTTCAACTCCCAGAATTCCCCAGCCAGCCACCGGTATAAAGGAAAAGGGGTAATTACCACTTTTTCCTCCATTGTCACCTGGCCCCTCTATTTGTACCTGGATTCTAGGGAGAAGCTGCCCTCCTCGATGGCCAAAGATTAGGCCAAAAGCACAAACAGAAGATACCTTATACAATTAAACAAGAATTAATGACAAGATAATGAATTCTTACTTTACTTATGGTTTGTTATAGGACATGTTGCTAATATACAGGAAATACACACCCTTGACAATAATAAAATTTTAAAAACTGATGAGATCTATTATCCTTTCAAAATGACATATAAAACATTTTAGGTTGGATCCCAACTTTTTATTATATAAGCAGAAGGATTGTTATATCTATGGAAGAGATCTCTCTGCTCACTGAAAGAAGAATTCCTTCTTTCAGTGCCACTTGCTTTTTGCTTAAGGAACTGGCATTTTATTTCTAAAATTGATTCATTGGGAATAAATAGCTTGCATGGTATGTGCACAAGCTATCAAAATAAAAAATTACCTAAACCTGCAAACACCTAAACAATTAAAAAATGGATGTGTTTGCAGACTCAACTAACAGAAGAAAGTCTTATTTGGAACATCATGAGAAATGACCTAATGATAATAGCTAAGACAGTTCTACTCCATTAGTCGCAGTACTACTCTGGAATGGGACAACTTATTGTGGCCAATTTGCCATGGCCATCTTGCCATGGCCAATTTGCCACGGAACAACTCGCCATGGGACAATTTCATGCAGGATAACTCAATGCAAGCTGTTTTTTTTTACATTATTTTCATTTTGACGAAATTGGACAACATTTTGTGGCGGATAACATTTATCACATTGCATTTGTCCCATAGCAAGTTGTCCTGTGACGAACTGGCCAGGACGAGTTTCCCACGTTGAGTTGGTCACAGTGAGATGACCATAGTGAGTTGGCTGGAGCAAACTGTCCTAGATCCATATTACTCCATATATCAGGATGTTATGTTCGTGATATAATAAAATACCGGCCAGACATGACTGAAGCCTATGTTGGGGTCATCAGCCAAAGCAACTAAACAAGCAATCACCGGCCAGACATGACTGAAGCCTATGTCGGGGTCATCAGCCAAAGCAACTAAACATGCAAGCAAGCATTCTCTGGCAGAGAATGGGATATACGTATGTGTGGTGTTTTAACTTTGCACTGTTCTGAGGATGACACAACTATTTTAAGTGCAAAATAGGCTGTTTCAACTATTTTAAAACTCCCAAACATCCCTATGTTTCAGAGTTTCAAGCCAAAAATACTTCTGAAACAGTCTATTTCATATGCAGCAATAGGGTATTTCAAAAATTCAAAACCATCTACATTCTACATATCACTACTTAAAAGCTGAATTATGTATCGGAAGAATGATAAAACAGAAAGAAGAATGTACCTTTTTTCATCCCATTCCACCTCAATAGATAGAAATACCCCTCTAAAAGGAAATAAAAACAGAAAAGACATGGAGGGCTTTTCTCCACTGCTATTACTATCCCCACAGGAATGAAGAACAAGGGGATTGAAATCCAACAAAACAGAAGGTTGCACTAGTGAGCTTTTCAAGAACCAAGACAGAATAGTATACAGGTAATCTTCAACTCACTCAACCACAATTGAGCCCAAAATTTCTGTTGCTTAGCAAGATAATTGTTAAGTGATTTTTTTGCTCCATTTTACAACCTTTCTTGCCACATTTGTTAAGTAAACCACTGCAGTTGTTAAATTAATAACATGGTTGTTAAGTGAATCTGGCTCCCCACTGACTTTGCTTGTCAGAAGATCACAAAAGGTATATATGTAGCATCATTATGTATTATGTAGCATCATAAATATGAACCAGTTGCCAAGCATCTGATTTCTGATCATGTGACCATGGGGTTGTTGCAATGGTTGTGTGAAAAATGCTGTTTTTTCAGTGCTGTTGTAACTTCGAACAGAAAGTGTACAAAAAAGCAAGCTTGTGGTTTCTGCAGACCAACACTGAAATCAGTAAGACTACTCAGGCTTATTTTAAAAATGAGATAAACAGGGCCAAATAAGGTTGAAATCATGTTATAAAAAAGTTATGCTTGGTGAGGATACTAAATTTAATTTATAAGAACTAGGCAATATTTTTTAAACAGATTCCAACAAAAATTTTAATCTGGTTTTGCCTCAACCAACTATGTGAAAAAATTAATTAACTGACCTTGATAATAATATTAAACGTATTTCACACGTCATATTGGATGCGATTACTAGCTCACATAAAGATTTTTAAAATCTGATAATCTGTATTATGCTTCAATTAATACTGCCAGTTTTTCCACATTTTACCTAAGGCACTTTTATGATTTTGGCTAGACTTATGCTGTTTCTAATACCAAGAGAAAAAAAAACATAAAAATGACTGAGGACTGCAATAAATTGGTGAACTACTTTTGTTACTGTAAAAGCACACTTTCTTCACTTGATTTATTATTTCCAAAATAAAATAAAATTTCTAGATATTTCTTAAAGCTAGCATATGTGATTTGTTATAAAAAGTCTACTTATCACACTTTTCACAGGGTTCTGTTGATATAGGTGTAAAAGCAACTCAACCATATTATTACTTACTGTGTGGAACCCACAATTTCTTGCTCACAGTAGTAGGTGCCTGAATTTGTGCATTAGAAAATGGGAAAGCTCTTTTTAAACACTGATTTTAAGTGTCCCCTTGGATATAGGTTTTATAAAAACAGCAGCACTAGGGTCATATTCTTCTGGTTTGCAATTTTTAAATGGGAAATTTCTACTAATGAAGCATTGGCCAGCAAAAATGTAATGCAATAAATACTAGGAAAGTTGAAAATGTTGGATTTTGAATTAGATTAAGAAAACATCTTAAAGAAAAGTGCTGTTATTAGCGTGAAAATACTAAGGGCTTCTAACTCTACTTCACTTTGTAATTGATTAGAATCCTCGAGAATTCATGTCCTGGAGCACAAGTACATAGCTCAGTTAATTTAAATGCTGATTTTGAACATTTAATGGTTTTAGTTATAAGGAGAATATAGCAATAGCAAGCACAATGGGACACAGCCTCTACCTATACAGGCAACTAATAGTCCCCACTAATTATGACAGAGCAATTTGCGTAATTTTAAACCACAGTATCTAGAGAAACCACCTGGTATCTAGAGAAACTTCAAATTCATATATTTATATAACATAGTGCATTAGTATATGAATGTGTTGTTTATTATAAGGTACCATTCTTGAGCTTCTGAATTTATGCAAGATTAAAGAGTATTATTAGTGGCACATAATAAAGTCCTAGCCGTTTACTCTTGACTCACAGAAATGATAGGAACATGACATTCTAAAGCTCTAAGGAAAGAGTAAATGATGATAGTTATAAAAGCTACTACAAAAGCTATTCAATGCCACTTTTATTTTAACATGGCCAATTGGCCCATTTAGAGAACAGTAACAAATTAAGACAGTAGAAGCAATTCCACATTGCAGCTTAAGTTACTAGATGTTTCTGAAACCATCTTGAAATTCCAGTCTGGACTGTAATGGGTTGATGCTCAGATTAAGGGGACCACAGGCCCTGAGTGATCATGCAATGGCTTTTTAACCCGTCCCATCTATAGAATAAAGGCAAGTCTGTCTTGACAGGACCATGTTTGAATGGGTCTTCCAGTGTCTGCCCTTTTCCTTTTAGGAATGTTTCCACTTCACTAAATGACATGCTTTTCCTTTGCTTTCCCGAAGGTTTGCATCTATATAGACTCTTCTTCTTCAACATTATCACACTCTTTCTTTTCCATCCATCCATTTTATATCTTAGCCTTTCTCATTTTTATATGACTCTAGCCAGCTTACAATAAAACAAATGCACATCATTAATATATCGTTGTTGCCCGACACAATAATATTCCAGGCAAGGAGGGTGTTCTTTGCTTCTATGTTCTACTGTGGGACTAGATAAACTTCTAGGAAGGGAAGTACTGATGTTTCAGTTTTATGGAAGCAAATTCAATGAAGCTTTGTGGTTTTATTCCAATATGACAATGCTGCAACTTAAAAGATTTGGGTAGGTGGGAAGGTTTACAGTCTTCAAAAACAAGGGGGAAATGAGTTACCCAGAAGGATCAGAAACTGAAAGGAATTTGCCCACTGGGAAATAGGAGATGCAAGGAGAGGAAGTTGAAAAACATGGGAGAAGGTTCATTATAATGCTATCATTGCATCAACCACCAGATGATAATGAAAATGAGGAGGAGGAGGAGGTGGTGGTGGTGGAGAGGTGACGGTTAACCAGTGAAGAACATGCAGAGTAACAGCTCAGGATGAAATGGCTGCATGGGAATAGGAGCCACCAACCACAGGAGATGAGAGCCAGGTGCTGTAGCTAATTGGAACTGGATTAGAAAGAAGTGCTGTAGACCATCTGCTTGGAAGAGCTTATAATAACGTTTATGATGGGAAAAAAGCAATTCTGAAAATCTGGGCAGGGAATGTATTTGTGATGAGTTGAAAGGTTGAATGATGGTGTCATGTACTATTGTGTTCAAGAAAAAATGGGTGCACTGGACTGCTGAAGAGATAAACAGATAATGCAGATCTGTTCTGGGAAGGGTGAAAATGACCAACAGTAAGTAAGCATATAGCGACAAGATGACTTGGGAAAGGAAAAGCAGAGAAATTCTTTAGGGGTTTTGAAACTATTGTCTTGAGGTAACAGGTTCAGAATTCTTAGGCAGAAATCCCAGCACTTTCCTTTTGTATAAACTATACATATAGGCTCTAATGAAAAAGCTACATGTTGCTGAAAAGCTCCGAAACTTGAAAATGCTGATTTTCAAATAGTGAAATGCTTAATATAAAGCAGTACCTTAAATACTGGCAACTATAACCATGAAACATCCTTTCTGTGAAAATTCTAATATTCAAATGCCTCTTAAAGCCTTAAGAACAGAACAAGCAGTTATCTTGACTTGTTAATTTACTGCATTATTTGACTATAATATTAATTAATTTTTTCAAAAGCAGGAAATTATAACAGATGAATCAAGGTTGAAATTTACAACATTTCTGACATCCCTATATAACAGTTTTTGGTCAAGATTTGAAATTTTTGCAAATTTAAAAACACAAAACAGGCATGGCAATGAAAAACAACTGTAATAAGACTAAAAGCAATGCAGCTCAAGTTCCATCATTTGACTTAACCTCTTAAATTAGGAGTTAAAACTTACCAACTAAAACAACAAGTCTATATTTTTCATTAGGCTGCCGCCTATATTTTGCTACTTCTTCATAGGTAGGGACATCTGCTGTGTCGTACTGATCACTCTTCTTGCACTCATACATTGTCTTGTTCGTTTTTTTATCCTTTCTGCTTAGGCGAAAACTTCTCCTAAAGCCAGCTGTGGTTACATTTTTAAAAAAGCAAATATAAACGTTATTAGCCAATAAAGAAAACCACCTATAACAAATATTCTTCCAGGCAAAATACTTACTACTTTTGCTATCAATATTTTCACCATTATTTTTACATATAAGTATATACAGATTATAATACAAAATGCTTCTATTCCTCCAAATATCATATATTATTTTGCTCATGCAAAGTCATACATTAGGACATTGAAATAAATGTTGTTGTTTTTTTAAAAAAATCTGTTGACTAATAAGAAAATTCTTTAAAGACACTGCAGTTCATTTGGATTACTCAGTTATTTTTTCTTGAGGCTCTTATTCTATAAATATGTACTATTGATAAAAAAGAGACATTATCTAAATTTTGTTCAGTTTCACATATGAGGCATATTTGTCTTAGGCACTCAAACCAAGAACATACCGTATTTTTCACTCTATAAGACGCACCTGACCATAAGACACACATACCGGTACTATACTATTTCTCTTTCCCTCTTTCTCTCCCTCTATTTCTCTCTCCCTCTCAAAGATCCTTAAAATCCTTAAAGGTTATGCTTGGGCGGAAGACTTTTTCTTTTACAGATGGGGCGGGTGGGCCTGACATTCGCACGCAGGCAGGACCCCGCCCACCGAGCCACCGCTTCCCCATTGCCCTCCACGCCAGCCGGCTCCGTTTCCAGACCTCCCAGCTGACAGGCACAGGTCCGGGGGTCGTCAGCTGACGGGCGCAGGAGTTCGGTGCTGCAGCGGCCTCACCTTCGCCCTCCGCACCGGCCAAAGCGTTGCCTGACGTTCCAGCTGACGGGCGCAGGTCCGGGGGTCGCCAGCTGACGGGCGCAGGAGGTAGGCGCCGCGGCGGCCTCCCAGCCGCTTGCTTCTTCGGCTGGAGCAATTGCAAGGGCTTGCATGGTCCCCAAGGGCCGCTGACGCGCTCCCTGCCGCTGGCGACCATGCAAGCCCTTGCAATTGCTCCATCTGTAAAAGAAAAAGTCTTTCGCCCAAGCATAATGCCAGCAGTTCTGTGCCACAGAGGCTTGAGACACGGAGGCGCGGGATGCGGAGCGGCGGGAGGCGGCATTCGCTCCATAAGATGCACAGACATTTTCCCCCATCTTTTTGGGGGAAAAAAGTGCGTCTTATAGAGCGAAAAATACGGTACTTTGCCCTTCAAATCTGCACTATTTGCTTAAAAACTCTCCACCCTCACTAAAAGATATCCAGAACTGTAAATAAGTAACTATAGAATGCATGCAATGGGTTGATCATCTCTCTATATATATGCCTATTAGATCCAGCAAAATTCATATAGTTGATATCCATCCTGGTTCAAAGTGACATACTGTGTATTTATAGACAGGGATTAATAATGCCATGGTCTAGTTCCATTAGAAACAATACAATCTTTTCAATCACAATAAGCAAGTTTTTAACAACAGAATCATAATATATTCATTAAAATGACATAAAGAACAATTAAGAAAATTATCATGTAATATAGTTTTGAAATTAAAAGGAGTAAAAAATTAGAATAGTCAATATAAATAATGTACAAAAGCATTTTTGGGGTATTTTTCCCATTTTTTTCATATACAATCCAAGGTGTTGAACACACCTAATACTCCTTCCTTCTCCTATTTTCCCTACAATAACTATTTGGTGAGATGAGTTGGGCTGAGAGAGAGAAAATGATCCAAATTTTTCCTGAATTGTACAACTGGAGATCACATGATCATAGGATGCTATGACTGTCCTAAACAACTATTGGTTGCAAAGTGACCAACTCTTGATCATGTGGCTATGGAGACACTGGCAGTTGTAAGTGCGAGGACTAGTCATAAAACTACTTTTTCAGTGTTGCTCTAACTTTGAATGGTTGCTAAAGAAGCAAGTAATCAAGCAAGGTCTACCCGTATGTTCCTTTAAAGGTAGAAATCTGCAAAAACTTCAGATATACAGATCATCTACTCTCCAACTGGGATTCATTGTTATTTCTTATGATGAAAATTATATGATAAAGAATCATGTGGCATAGATATTGCTGAGCAGATTACATCAGGAGGTGGTTTAGATACTGTCAACACATTGTTATCAGAACCATTACGAACCCAAGGAAATCCTAAGTGAGATGAAATTTTGTGAAGATGGAACAGCCATAGTATTGTAGTGCTAAGTATCAATTGTATTTTGAATGGTGCTTCTCTGGGTGACCAATAATCATGTTGCTAAGAGAGATCCTAGAAGTCATTTAAATTTTGATGGTTTCAATATTATGAGCTTCATGAGATATTGGGATAAGAAGGGCTTGAGTAAAGTTTAGAATAAATAATTAAGAATTGGAAGTTCTTATCCTAACTGACTGTTTCATAGGCTGCCTTCCTAAGGAAACATGAATCCATGATAGTGGCATGACATTTTGGCCTACGTTCTAAGGCAGTGATCCACAAAGCTGAAATAGAAATGTATAGTGACTATTTGTGAAGAGGAAAAGCTGCAACATTTTTAAAAAAGTAGCTCAAAAGCAAGATACAATACAACTATGGAAGTTCCAAAAGAAACCTGGGAAAGGACAAAACACTGAAAAGAAATCCAGAGAAAAAAAGGAAATGAGAGGAAAAAAAGATCTGCAGTAGGCAAACCACAAACACTTTTCAGTGTTGAACAGTGTTGTGGAAAAAACTAGAGGTTTTGACAGTTGGGCTGAATTTAGGGAGTTAATGAATAAAGCTCTTGGGTTTTCATCCTAGATTAAGGATGTTAAGAACCAGCTGTTGTAGAACTGATCTGCACAGGTGCAACTTTCAAGGTGGTATGTGGAGTTTACAAAGAGTATGAATGATTTAACTCTAGTTTAAAGAGTGAAAATGCAAATAACCTTATGGCTTTTAGAAATAGAGATGGCCTTCGTTAAATGACACTTGTTCGGTGACCATTTCAACTAACAATGGCACTAAGTGACTGGTACTCATGACCTGTCCTCTTATTTCTGTAAGTTGCAGCATCCCCAGGATGACATACTTGCCATTTACAACTTTTTGTCAGCTTCCTACAAGCAAAGTTGATGGAGAAACGGGCAGGAGGTTGGAAATAGCACTCACTTAAAGATCCAGAGTGATTTGATTAATGACGGCAACCAGAAATCCTGGAATTTCCATGTTAAGCAGAGTGGTAATGTGACATCAGACTTTATGACCATCTTGCTTAATGGCAGAAATTTCAGTCCCAATTACAATTGTGACATGAAGACTACCTGTATGTAGGCCTCACTTTGGAGAAATTTGAATACAATTATTTCATGAGAAAATGCCTGCAGTTTAATAAATCATAGCAGCAATATAAAGTACTAGCCACAGATATAGTCAAGTCCTTACAACATTTTAGTATTTATTTGTGCATTTCTTTCATTACTTGACTTGTATTCATTGAAATCACAAAGATTTTTAGACATTTATATACTTGGTTGTTGAAGGTATGCTTCAATCCAAATCAATGCAGTATAAGTTCAAGCCATAAAATATTTATTGGTGAAAACGTAAGCTGATGGAAACTTACAAATAAGATCTGGTAAAGATGTCAGGCTTATTATTAACATAGGGAAGATATTTGTGTATATGTGTGGGGAGGAACTAATATGTTATTCTACATAAATAGAGTGAACATCACTCTTCAGAGAAACTAATATCATTAAGAGCCAGTGAACATGGCCAAATATTCCCTCTGCTCAACTGTTTTCTAAGGGTTATACTTCTCTTTTATACACAGAAACAAATTATTAGTCTATCGTTCACTTAAACAGAGAACATGGAAATTAAAAAAATGAAAGAACTTCAATTGGGGGAAGCACAGAGTAGAAAGTCAAACTGTTTTATATACTGTAATGCTAGAGTCTAAGAAAGAAGGAAAAAACATATTTTCTTTTGTTTTAAAATTGAAATAAAAATACTGCTTCATGTATTTAGATTGAGCAGGTTAGACATTTTAAACATATGAAACATAAATTGAAATCAATATAATTGGGGTGGGAGGATGGACAACATCTAGAAGATCACAGATATATAAAAGCAATGGTTTCCCCCGTGACACTATGAGAGCAAACTTGAACAAGGAAGAAACTGGAGAGAAAGACCATGGATACCAAGTCTGTAATGTTGAGAAAAGAAAGAGAAGAGGATGACCAAGGAGCAAGGTGGATGGAACCTACTATAGCGGTAAAGAGCACACCACCATTAAATCTGAAGGGCCATGTTGGGAACAGATTATCCTAGAAAATTTTTTTATCTCTGTGGTTTCTAAGAGTAGACTCTGTCTTGACAGCATGTGATCAATCAATCCAACAGAGGAAATAAATTTCAAAACCACCAAAATGGTAAGTAACTTAAGTAGCATTTCTCCATAGTGCCTTAGGTACGATGCTACTTCATGATATACTGTAATTCCTGAGACATTGTTGAGGGGGGGAAAAAAGGGTACTCTTGCCAACCCCATCCAAATTTCAACAGCAAAGCAATTTTACTTAAAGAAAAAAGAACATGGTTACAATTTGATCCAATAAGTCTCTGTCCCAGCATGAAAATTCTTCTCTCTTTTTCATTTGGCCTTAACTTTCCAGAAAGTACAGCTATTGCTGCAAGTTTAGGCTCATTGCCAGTTCTAAAGTGCATAGCTGAGGAAAAGCAAACTCTTCCCTAAAGGGCTTTGTCCCACATAATGTCAATGAAAGACCCTGAAAAGTCAGCTCCCATATGCAGAAACCTCATCCTTGGCCCTCATTTCTCCTGCAGCCTAGAGCACAACAGGTTTTACAGAATGTTTATGTCTGCTTTTCAACTAACATTTCACAGCCAATACATCCAATGAGGTTTTTAAAAAATGTTTTATGAATAATTCAGACACTAGGAACAGATATGGAGCAAGACTAAACATTTTCCAGCTTCAGAAAGGATGCCATTTAGGTTTACAGCTTAGATCTCAAGAATCCTTTGAAGTGTGC